GCTCGTCGCGCCTCGGTGGCTACCATGGACGCGCCCAAACCGCCCCGTTCGCGGCGAAGCTCATCGGCTGATGTTACCTCTAGCAAGGAAGGCCCATCGAGCGAAACGCTTCGGACCCGCCGGGTTAGGCCTTTGGGCAGCGCGGGTAGCCCAAGCTCGCAACGAAATGCCAGCCGTCGGTCCTCCGCTCAGCGAAAAAACGAGAAGCCCTTTAACAATGGCATCCCCATGTACTCACAGGTGAGTTGCCGGCGCGGCATCACCCCTTGACCTAAGTTGCTCTGCTGCGTCTGGCCTTTGGGTCGTGCGATATTATTTATCGGCGGCAATGGTACACACACGTTTGATGTTGCGGCTGGCAACAACGTGCTTTTGATAGAATCGCATCAGGGAGCGAGCTGCAAGACGCCCTCAACGTGCTGCCTCCAATGCCACCGTCTTCAACCTTGAAGTGCCTGCTGAAAGCTCGTCGGGAGGCTCAGATGCCGATGATGAGCGCAGCACAGCCCTCTTTCGCGCCACTCGCGCGCCTGGCCCCTCACCCTTGGTGCCTCGTCGGGCGTTGGCCGGTACAATCCAACGGCCCGCCTCCTTTGCACTTGCACTGCCAGGCGGGCCCAGTGCGCCTGCCCCGTTATCCAACCGACAGCGCTTAATGCGCTTGGACCTCCTGGGGCAAGAACTCGACAATGCCACAGGCGCACACTATGCCTTGCAGCAGCAACTCGCGTCTCTTTCGAGTCGCACCAACAGCCTTGATAATGCCGCTTTCTTTGATGGTTTGGACGAGGATTTGCAGGACCCCATTGGCCGGAGCCCTGGTGGACCTCAGCCACATGGCGGCGCTGATGGTCCAGACAGCTATGGCAACGGTAACATGGGAGAAGGACAGTCAAACTCGCTGGAAGCATCTCCACAGGTAGCCACCGTGACCCACATGGTGTTTCCCATGGATGGTTTTGCTGCTGCGCCCGTTGCACCTCGGCCAGCCCGGCAAGGGCGCAGTGTCAATCGTGGCGTACCAGAGACCACGGTGTCACCTGCAAGCAACGCCGGTACCAGAACGCCGCGTGAATTGGGTGGAGCAACGTTTCGCTATCCCACGGTGGCTGCTCTCTATCCTCGACAGTCGGACACACGACTGCAGCGGCTGGGAGCAGAAACGGATGGTGATTTGCGTACCGGGTATGTAGCCTGCTTGGCGACCGCCCTCTCCCTGCAACTGCAAGGCACGCACATTATGACCGGAATGCACCAGATGGCAGTCAGGCCATGCGCATACCTTTGTGCTAGCAGCTGCCCTTGTTGCGTGCAGATGCTTCCCCATGTTGGAAGGCTCATGCTGTGTGCTTTACTTTCCATCTCACAGATCGGCGGAGCGTGTGACCAAGAGCCTGATGCAACACCCGCTCCTGCATCCTTGAACTTTGCACACACGTGAGTATCCAAAGTTCTGGTCTGAGCCGACTGTACAAATGACGTGGAGTAAAAAGGAGTATGGACATTGCTTGCCATCTGTTCAGGCTTCAATTGGATCTGAGATCCCAGAGTACTCAAAGCGGGTAGCCGCAAAATACTGGTGATATCCACAACACCAGGCACTCAGAGCGGGGTCAGGGAAAAGTCATCGAGCCATGCAAACACATAGGCGTCTAGCTCGAGCTTGAGATACCAACCGTTGCCGAGGGAGTTTGGTGAAGTACCCAACACATGACCGTCGAACACTGCTGTCGTAGACGAGACATTGGCGAGCAAGCTGACTGTGTGCCACTGCTGGGTTGTAAAGTTGGGCAACGGGCCATGAGTGGCGTCATCCAAGCTCCAGGTACTGCTTGTGCCGTTGAGAACGAGGGCAACGTCCCCGTCACCTGTCCCAAGACGCAGGGCAGTGGTCGTCTCCAACATGACAGAAAAGGTGATGTTGGTGGAGGCATTAAGAAAGGCACCCCCGAAATAATTGGTAGGCCCAGCACAGGAATAGCCCCAGCAGGCAGGCCAATAGGGCACCGATTGCCGCATAGCCTTCCCGTCTCCGTCGGCGCGTGCGTGGATCTCCCAGGCTCCCATCTGGGTATACCAGATGCGAGGAGGCGCATACAATGTCTCATTCTCAAAGTCTTGCTCATAGGGGAGCAAGAAGGGACTTGCGGGCGGAACGTTGTGGGATCCCTTTCGGCCAGTGCTGAGCGTGGTCAAAGTGAAGAGGTCATCGCGAGCCACCTCAATGGTGACTCGCCCGTTGACCACGGGAATGGACCCGCGATGGACAAAGAGCTGCTGTGAATCGTTACCATCAGTCAAGTTGGAATACCAAACGTTGAGGGACGTGATTCCAGCAAAGCTTCCGTTCAGAATGAAAGTGACGTTTTCTGCCGACACGTCGTACGGCGGGTTGCTACCCCGAGCACAGTTGGAATCGTCATGCGACATCTTCTCCACCACGATGGAAATGTCCCGCCGATCGGGAGAAACGCGTGTGACATAGGAGCCGCCCTGGAACAGCATGCCAACCCCAAAGCCGTGCGCGGCGTAACGCCAGCCAATTGGGGCAAACTGTGCGGTATGCGCCAGAGCCCATGTCGGTGACGTGATTTCGTAGTGTCCACTCCAAGGCTCATTGGCCACCGCGACACCACATCGTGGCCACGGCAGATAGTCGTAAAAACTCGAGATGAGATGCCACTAGAGTTGTTCAAGGCGGTGGGGCCAAAGCAGACAGGCGGGTTGAGCGCCACTTTGATGTACGTGCAGCATTTGACATCGGCAATGAGGAAAGGTGTCAAGTCCGATGTACCTGGAAGGTGGCTGTGTGACAATCGGTGATGTAGTTTCGGCTGACACAACGCGCAAGACAGCGCGCAGATTGGCCGTCTATCAGATAGACAGAGATGTTCAGATTTGACGCTTCAAGGGAACTGCCCCAGAGACGCTCAACCTGCCGACATGGTCGGCGGCAGTCTGAGACTTTGGGTACAACAGCTCACCTGCAACGGAGCCCTCTTCATCTACCCAACGAGACCCATCCGTCGTATTCCAGGGGTACTGTACGAATGAACCAGCATTTGAGACATGTGAGCGAGCGCAGTCGGCAGCTTCAACCCGTCTGCCGCTTCGACCGGCAGACGGGCAGGGCGTTCTCTGGGTGGGCCTCTGCGATGACGTGCCTGCTTGCAGCCTTGAGCATCTGGGGTGAGACCAGTACCTGGGTAATGCACAAGGCGATTGAGGACGGTCGTGGCTGGAGCTTTCTGAGTGACAAGTTGACGCAGCGCAGTCGCGTAGTCCTCTGGTGCATCGCGCTCATTCCACTGGCCGACGTAGTCGATGGTCAGGTTGTGCTCACGCTGGGCGCCCAAAAGCCAAGCAACTGTGTAGTTGGCCGTCAAGCTAGCGTTGTAAAAGGCGTTGGAGGCTTGATGGGTGCTGGAAGATGCTGGATCCAACCATCCAGGCCATGACCACGGGAGTCCATCTGTGCCCGCAGCAAAGCAGAAAGCAGCAAGGCTCAGGTGAGACACAAGTGGGTTGTGTGAAGCTGCTGTGGCTGTGGCGCGACCTCAGATATCATTCAAAAAAAAAAAAAAAAAAAAAGGATTTGGAGACACACAAAGTTTAATGTCCGGATTGCGCTTCTTGGCCTCCTTCATGAGCCACCATTCATATCCGCGTTGATAGTTTTCATCGCCTGCGGGGTGCCAGCAAAGTGAATGGCCACGCACGATGGGGCTCAAGGCCCAAGCTTGTGCGATCACAGCCCTGTCGATGTGCACAAACCAGGGAATTGCATGTGGCTGGGTTCGGCCCCTTCTGTTGCATCGGCAGTCCCCCCGATCTCAACCTGCGCTCATCAAGAAAGAAGGTGAGAGGGAGGCCGTGGTTCTTCAGAGCCTTCTCCCACGCCGTGCAAGGAGCCACAAACCTTGAGCATCTGGAGGGACAAACCAAAGTTTGGCAAAAAGAGAAAGTCAAGAATGTCGGACACGGTTTGTGGATCGTAATCCATGAGCAACTTTGAGGTGGCACCGCCACCACTGATGGCACCCACGCCCTCCCAGCGCAGGCCCAGACCCGGCGCGTCGTCGATGGAGTAAGGTCCCTTGGGTGGGGGTGGTGGGGGTGGCGGGATGTTTCGCCCGCGCGATACCCATCCATCTTGGTGCTGATAATCAGCATTGTATTTACCAATCCAACAGGACGAGTTTGGGTAGGCAGGGGCAGCCTGCGCCCACTGCCAGACCTCACATGCATCGTCACTGCAGCATTGCTGTTCACACGCTGCAGTCGAATTTGCAGGCGCTTGACGCAAACCCTTGATTTGAATGTTGCTCAGGTCCGTAGGAAAGGTGCTATTATCACAAGCATCCACCCCTTGGCCTCCCGCCACCCCCAACACCCCCACCAAGGCCAAGATCACCAGCAACCCACCGCCATAGCCGATCGCCATCATTTGCTTTTAAGGAAAAAGGAAAAACAAAAAATCGTGCAAAACATCAACAAACCCTGAAACTCTCAAACTCTCTCTCAAACTCTCTCTCAAACTCTCTCTCAAACTCTCACACTGTGTGTGCTGCTGTTTAATGTTAATGTCTTTCTCTCTCTCAAACTCTCAAAATCTCTCTCTCTCTCTCTCTTCTCACTTCCCCTGTCGTTTTTTTTTTTCCTCCTCCCCGAATAGGACAGAGCACGTTCTGTTTCTCTCCAAAAGGCCTGGGCAGACACGGGACAGCGGTGTGGGGGTTGGCCCATGACGTACAGGCCACCTTCATACATCACTTTCGGCAAAGATCGGGAAGGAGAGAGCAAGCAAGCCAAAGAGACAAAACACGGGGAGCCTGACCGTCGAGCACGATACAGCTCGAACATTAAATGCAAACAACAGGCGGCAAACGCCACTGGCCTGCATGACAAAACAAAAGACGAACCGCCACACAGACACGGCCATGCTCACGATACAGGGTGTCACGATCGCTTATCGGGATGGCGGCGCTGCTTGCCGGGCTTTCCTTGGCCCTCGCGCAGCGATGCGTGGCCCACACTCCCCTCCGCATCCTCCTCATCTGCAGCACGATCCCCATGGGTGAGCAAGCCACAAGCTACGCTGAGCGACCAAGTTTAGAAAGCCACTGCACAGGTGACGCACCAACGTATATGGACGGTCTTCGCCGTATCGTATCAGAACCTTCGGTTTGCTGTAAGGATTGTGTCATGATTTCGTCAATCAGCTGTGAAGTCCGCGCGGCGCTGTCGTTCGAGCCTAGGTTCACAATCATTGCGTGAGGCAAGAGTTGTCGAGCGCGCTTGAGAGCAATTGAACAACGCACTGTTGCTAATAGCGCCGCGACTCGTCATGGTGGCGTGTGGCGACGCCTCAAGCTCGTCTGCAGCCGCCATATTGCATTCGATACCAAGCGTGAGTGCACCATGTCCACCCACATACATGCACAACTTGCCAACGCACGGAAGCCAGACAACTAGCAGAGACATGAAGCCCTCAGCCTCGCGCCTGCCGGGCTTACCAAGAGCCTGGGTAAGTGAGAGGCCGTTGTCTAAGAGGCTATCATGCGCCTCCAGCTCGTCGAGGTTTGGGCGCCTGCGGATGCCCAGTTTGGTCACGATGGAAAACACATGAAATCGAGCAAAATCGGCCGGGAAACAACGTCTGGGGTGCGGGGCGTACGCTTTGAAGACGGGCGGCCCATCCACGAGCCGCATGGAGACAGTCACCTAAAAGTCAAAACCAAAGAAGAAGCAAGGCGGAAGGGGACATCAACGAGAACAAAAGGACGTGCGCCGTGCTATTTTGCTCAAGTCAACCATGAAAGCGTTTCTGCTATGCATGTGACGCACCTCAAGGATAGAATTGCCCTGGCGGGTGTTGGCGGTTTCGGGTTGCAACAGGTAACGTCGGTGGGCTTCCAAGCGACCCGCAAATTCGCCCAGGTCCAAGACGGCTACTCCCATCTGCAGGCGCCAAAAGCAGCCCCAAGCACAGTGAGGCCAGATGCCAAGCACAGTGAGGCCAGATGCCGCGCCCATTGGGGAGACAAGCAACAGCACTGCGGGGTTGTACATGAGAGCTCGGTCCGGTTTGAGTCTCATCAAAGCCTCACCTTGTCGTTTTTGAGCCCACCACGCAGCTCGCGGCGCACGCAGATGCGTAGTGGGTGTGAATCAAGCATCCCTGAAGGGCCGACGGTTAAGCGCACCGGGAACGAGAAGGCTTCGTGCCATGTCACCGCATGATGTTCGACTTGCACGCTACAACCGCAAGCATTCGGGGCACGCGGGCAGTCCGCAGCAACCGTGAGGATGGCATGCTGATGCGGCTCCTTCGGATGCGAGGTGGAGAGGAAGCGCAGATATAGGCGTGATTTCAATCTGCGTACCGCGGCGTGACAAGCGTTCCCTCGGGCCGTTTGACCTTGCAAAAGCAGATAGCTAAACCGAGAATGCAGACAGCACACCAACCCAGGAGAGACGCGGAATGGTGAGAATGGCCACGGGTGGCAACTCGACCTGTGACCAGAAGACCTTGAGCAATCCCCAAAGCACTGAGGCATGCCCCTGGCTGAGGAGGTATGGCTTTGATGATACCTGTCTTGTAAGGTACAGCGGTGAGTTGTACGACAGTGAGGTCGAGGTCAAACTTGAGGCGCTGTTTGCGAGGCATGGGAGAGCTAGAGGGATGCAAGGCGCAGCCTCACAGTCCCTCCCCCTTGATTCCGAAAAGAAACCTGCAACGACGTCTCGTCGGGCCTTGAAGGGTTGAGCGCCGGGCGCGCCGGGCGCCAAGAATACCGAGTCTTGTTGAACGGCTGATGATGGCGAAGCTATATCCGGTCCGAGCACAGTAGGTCGCACAAGAACCAGGCGCTCCAGGCCAGGCCAGGCACAAGCCCAGGCTTTGGACAAAAGACAAACTCGCGCGGCAAACTATAGATCCAAGCGCCAGCGACTTGCAGCAGCTTGCTTCGTCCCTCGCCCACGGCTAGTGCACCAACTAGACCAGATCCAGGCACCGGTGATTGATGAATGTCATGCCGAACCATACACCCACAAACAGCAACCCGTCCAAGCGTGGCACACCAAGCCCCCCAACCACCACCACCACCACCCCCTCAAACACATTCGCCCTCCTTCCCGACCACTTTAACACACCACCTCCACCTCACCCGTCTCCTACTTTGCCCTGTCTGCCCTTCACAGTGAACCAGTGCCCAGGGCCAACAGCAGCCAGCAGCCAGCAGCCAGCAGCCAGACAACCAACCTCCTCCTCAAAGCGCACGTCAACTTTATGCAGTTAAATATCAGGTTGTTGTATTGGTTTGTAAGTTAAAAAAGGGTTCTTTATGCTGCTTATTTTCTAGTTATATGCGTTGTTGCTTTTTATTTTGAAATTTTGTGTGACGTTCTCTCTAAATCTCTCTCTCAAACTCTCTCTCTCTCTCTCTCTCTCTCTCTCTCTCTCTCTCTCTCTCTCTCTCTCTCTCTAAATCTCTC